TGTTTTTGTGTGTTAGTGTTCACGTAATTGTGTGTATGTGAGAGTGTGTGCCGGTGTGTGTATGTGAGTGAGTGCATGCATGTGCAACTGTGTGTGTGTGTGTGTGTGTGTGTGTGTGTGTATGTGTAATTGTATTTAGTGTACAGTATATGCGTGTTTGAATGTGTGAGTGTGCATGTACAGTAAGTGTATGTTTTTGTGTGTTAGTGTTCATGTAATTGTGTGTATGTGAGAGTGCGTGCCTGTGTGTGTATGTGAGTGAGTGCATGCATGTGCAAGTGTGTGTGTGTGTCGTGTATATGTGTAAATAAATACAGGCCACAACTGAACATGCAGGATGATCTCCAAGTGGCGGTCTCCAAAATTAAACCAAGAATAGACTTGGGCTTATTGGTGTGTGTGTGCAGCGTTGCGTGCAAGGTTTGTATATTTATCACCCCCTCAGAGGATATTTAGAGTCACTGGCATTGTTATTTTAGGGTGAAGAGTTTGGAAACCCCCTGGTCTAGAAAATGCTTCTTGATTTAGGAAGTTTGAAATACTTGGACTAAAACCAAGACAGAAACTAGGTAAGAACTGTTTTGCAGTGTGTTTATTAAAGGTGTGCATGTGTGTGTGTGTGTGTGTGTTCACCAGCTCCATGCGTCTCCTGCTGCTGTCCTGCTCTCTGCCAGTCAGATCCTCCATCTCCATCCTCATGTCCTCCAGCCTCTGCTGGTAATATCTGCAGTTCTCCCTCTCTCTGGCCTCAGCCTGTGCTGCCTGCTCCAGCTCCTCACCCAGACGAACCACACTGTCCCGCAGACGCAGAACCAGCACCTACAACACACACACACACACACACACACACATATACATACAGCGGAAGTCTAAATGATTTGCCCTCATGTGAATTGTCTTTTCTTTGTCTAATATTTCCCAGATGATGTTGAACAGATTCAGGAACTGTTCACAGTGTTTCCTCTAATATTTGTTCTTCTGGAGAAAGTCTGATTTGTTTTATTTGGGCTAGAATAAAAGCAGTTTTTAATAGTTTTAAAGTCATTTTAAGGTTAATATTTTTAGCCCCTTTAGCAATATTAGTTTTGGATTGTCTCCAGAACAAACCACTGTTATGCACTTAAACTCTGCAGGCCCAGTACCGCGTCAGTAACACCATCGACTTCCGATTTAAGATTTAAAGGGCTCGCATTGCACCAGAACCAGTAAGTGGTTTCGTTTGAAAGTGTATAATCTATATTTTATGCACATGTGCATCACTTTGGTTTTTATTTTACTGTATAAAAGTTATTTACACTTAAATACACAGTGTTTTGGAGACCCGAGCTGGGTTGTGAACATTGGTTTATTTTCATATTTTCCATCTGACACATGTACATGTTATAGCTCAAATGAAAGCTCTTGCCGGTGCTCATACAGTTCTAGCATTCTTTTTACTGAATTATATTCACATATCAAACAGTTGCCGAATGAATCGCGGTGTTTGCATGGCGCAGAAGTGAAAACAATACGTTCATGATCAATAAGCAGCCCCAGATAGCACAGACAGCTGTCATCTCTCACCTTATGCTGTGTGCTTCAGGGTCATTCTCCTCTGTTTTTGAGGTTATGTGCATAAGTAATCCTTTTATATGTCTGACGTGCTCCAAACACAGTGAATTATGTTTGATCAAACAAAAGAATAGTGAAATATGAAGACAATGATCGCTCCCTGTGGCTTGTACAGCACCTCTCATCAGTTGGAATACAATAACTTCTGCATAGATTATGGTGGAGACATTTTTCTTTTGTCCTATGATTACAGACATGTGCAGGAACCACCAACATTAATTACAGCACACTAGACCACACACAACCTAAAAGGTACACTTTCACATTTGAGTTCATAAAAAAAAAAAAAAAAAAGCGCCCCTTTTTTAGGTGTTTATTACAACACAGATGACATATACAGTTATTTCTGTATAAGTGAAAACACTTTCAGTAGTATATATGAAAATTCAAAGGGTTTTCTTAAAATGA